GTTTCACTCTTGTTACCCAGGTTGGAGCGCAATGGCGCGATCTCGGCTCACCGCAACCTCCGCCTCCTGGGTTCAGGCAATTCTCCTGCCTCAGCCTCCTGAGTAGCTGAGATTACAGGCGCGCACCACCATGCCCAGCTAATTTTTTGTATTTTTAGTAGAGACGGGGTTTCACCATGTTGACCAGGATGGTCTCGATCTCTTGACATCGTGGTCGACCCGCCTCGGCCTTCCAAAGTGCTGGGATTACAGGCGTGAGCCACCGCGCCTGGCCTTAGTTTAATCTTAATGCAAGTTCCTTGAGGTAGAAGATTGCGTTATTGATTTGTGATATTTCTTTTTGTAATGTAGGCATTTACGGCAGTAAATTTCTCCCTGAGCAGTGCTTTCAATGCACCCTATATGTTTTGGTATATTGCATTTTTGTTTAAATTCAACTAGTATTTTCTAATTTTCCTTCTGATTTTTTTCTTTCGTTTTTCAACAATATGTTTCTCCATGAAAGCCTAGATTTTTTTTTTTTCTTTTTTTGAGACGGAGTTGCTTTTGTTACCCAGGCTGTAGTGCAATGGCGCAGTCTCGGCTCACTGCAACCTCCACCTCCTGTGTTCAAGCGATTCTCCTGCCTCAGCCTCCTGAGTAGCTAGGATTACAGAGGCCCGCCGCCATGACTGGCTAATTTTTACGTTTTTAGTAGAGACAGCGTTTCACCATGTTAGCCAGGCTAGTCTCGAACTCCTGACCTCAGGTGATCCGCCTACCTTCGCCTCCCAAAGTGCTGGGATTATAGGTGTGAACCACTGTGTCTGAACTTTTTTTTTTTTTCCTGAGACAGGGTCTCTCTGTCACCCAAGCTGGAGTGCAGTGGCATCATCTCGGCTCACTGCAACCTCTGCCTCCCGGGTTCAAGTGATTCTCCTGCCTCAGCCTCCCAAGTAGCTGGGATTAGAGGTGTGTGCCACCACACCTGGGTAACTTTTTTTATTTTTAGTAGAGATGGGGTTTTACTATGTTGGCCAGGCTAGTGTCAAATTCCTGACCTCAAGTGCTCCACCTGCCTCGGCCTCTGGAAGTGCTGGGGTTACAGGCGTGAGCCATCACACCCCACCCGCCTTGTGATTTCTTCTTTGTGATTTCCACATACCTCTGACTTGTCCAATTTTCCATCTATTAATGATATTTAGCTTCATTCCATTATGTTCAGATGAGATACTTTGTATGACTTTAATCTTTTTTTTTTTTGGGGGGGGGGCAGAGTTTCGCTCTTGTTACCCAGGCTGGAGTGCAATGGCGCGATCTCGGCTCACCGCAACCTCCGCCTCCTGGGTTCAGGCAATTCTCCTGCCTCAGCCTCCTGAGTAGCTGGGATTACAGGCACGCGCCACCATGCCCAGCTAATGTTTTGTATTTTTAGTAGAGATGGGGTTTCAACGTGTTGACCAGGATGGTCTCGATCTCTTGACCTCGTGATCCACCCGCCTCGGCCTCCCAAAGTGCTGGGATTACAGGCTTGAGCCACCGCGCCTGGCCGACTTTAATCTTTTAAAGTTATTGAGGCCAGGCATGCTGGGTCATACCTGTAATCCCAGTAGTTTGGGAGGTCGAGGTGGGTGAATCACTTGAGGTCGGCAGTTTGAGACCAGCCTGGCCAACATGGGGAAACCCTGCCTGTACTAAAATACAAAAAATTAGTTGGGTGTGGTGGTGGGTGTAGTCCCAGATACTCAGGAGGCTAGGGCAGGAGAATCGCTTGAGCCCGGGAGGCAGAGGTTGCGGTGAGCCGAGATCTAGCCACTGCACTTAAAAGTTATAGAGACATTTGTGGCCATTTTGTGGCCATTTTGTGGCAGTGGCGGGCTGCCCAGAGTGGGAACGCTCAGCTGTAGCTGCCCTGCCACAGCTCCTGAACCAGGCACCTGTGTGCACTTGGGCGCTTGGGAAGACCCCCTACCCCATGCAGGCTTGGAAATGCCTTTTCCCACTGCCTGGCTTCTCCCGGCTGTTGGTGCCCACCCTGATCTTGGAGCAAAGTTGGGACTGAGCCTGGGCACTGTCGCAGCCCAGCCAGGTGTGCACATGCTGAGAGCAGGCGGATATGCCAGCCCCCTGCTGCCTTGGCCCCCCTCTGGACTTTGGGTGCCAATAAGCATGGGAGGGAAGCCAGGGGTGCTGAGGACAGCCTGGTGCTGGCCTGCAGTTGCCCCTTGGCGTGAACAGCCTGGGTGCCATGAACAGGGGCAGGAGGCAGATAGGCTCCTGGGTGGAAGTGGGCGGGTCCCTGGTGAAGCCCCACCTTCAAGCTGGGGAAGGCTGAAGTGCTGGGGGGTGACAAGGCCAGGCTGGGAGTCCTGCGTATCAGAGGCGGAACCTGAGGTTCTTTTCCCTGAGCCTGTGCATGGCCATCCATGGCTGCACATCGACCACTCAGCACACACTTCCTCCCCTCCAACACCCATAAAAACCCCAGATTCACCCAGACTCAAAGAAAGGATGGGGAGACAATGGGGAGATGACGGGATGAGCAGCTGCGGAGAGGAGCTGCCCTCTCTGTCCAGAGCGGAACACTCATCAGGACACCTGGCTGCGGAGAGGAGCTGCCCACTGAGGGTCTCCTCTGAGCTGTTCGAACACTCACTAAAGCTCCTCTTTGTCTTGCTCACCCCCCACTTGTCTGCATACTTCTTTCTTCCTGGATGCAGGACAAGAACTTGGGACCCACCAAATGGCGAGGCTAAAAGAGCCGTAACACAAACATGGGAAACATCCCCCTTGCTCACCATATTGTAGGTGAAGAGGAGAGAAAAGCCACAGCCCTCTGGGGGCCCAGACCTGGGAGGTCCCCAAGCCAGGGCTGTGACTCCCTCTCTGGGGCCCTGTGGTTCCTGGTGTCTCCAAGCTTCCAGACACCACCACATTCTTTGGTGCCAGCCCAGGAAGCTGCTTGCAGTGGCACCTGTGCCAGCACCTGGAGCTGCTCACCCCATGACAGCAGCCGGCATGTCTGACTGTGCACGGTGGCTGGACCCCATGCTCACTCACACACCCTTCACTGTTCCACGCTTGACTCCAGTTTCCCTTGCAGGCATGGGATCCAGGCTGGTAGGGTGAGCCTGCCAGGCTGAGTGGGCAGAACGAGCCCAGGGGCCTGAGCAATGGCACCACCAGCCACAGAGGTCTCCAGTCAGAAAAGCAACACCCTAAAGATCCCACAACACTAGCATACAGTCTGTACTGGAGAATGTTCCATGTGCACTTGAGACAAACACAGATCGTGGTGTTCGGTGGAGTTTCTGCGTACGTTTGCTAAGTCTAGTTGGCTTATAGCATTATTCAAGTCTTTAACTGCCTTGCTGATCTCATGTCTAGGTATTCTATCCATTATTGAAAGTGGTGGCTGGGTGTGGTGGCTCATACCTGTAATCCCAGCACTTTGGGAGGTTGAGGCAGGCGGATCACTTGAGGTCAGGAGTTCAAGACCACCCTGGCCAACATAGTGAAACCCTGTCTCTACCAAAAATACAAAAATTAACTAGGTGTGTTGGCACACACGTGTGTGGTCCCAGATACTCAGGAGGCTGAGACAGAAGAATTGTTTGAACCCAAGAGGCGGAGGTTGCAGTGAGGTGAGATGTGCCACTGCACTCCAGCCTGGGTGACAAAGCCAGACTCCATCTCCACAAAACAAAACAACAACAAGAGAGTGGGGTGCTGGCTACACACAGTGGCTCATGCCTGTGATCGCAGTACTTTGAGATGCCAAGGCAGGCGGATTGCTTGAGCCTAGGAGTTGGAGACCATTCTGGCAACATGGCAAAACCCATCTCTAGAAAAAACACACACACGCAAGTTAGCCAGGCATGGTGATATGCACCTGTGGTCTCAGCTACTTGGGAGACTGAGGTGGAAGGATCACTTGGGCGTAGAAGGCAGAGGTTGCAGTGAGCCAAGATCACTCCAGCCTGGGCAACGGAGACCCTGTATGAAAAAAAAAAAGAAAAGAAAAGAAAAATAAGAGAAAATGGAGAGTTAAAGTCTTCAACTATTACTGCTGGACTAATGTTTCTCACTTCGATTCTGTTGGTTTTGCTCATCTGTGTTGGAGCTTCGCTGTTACGTGCATGGGTGTTTATAATTATTATACACTTTTTAATGCATTGAGCATTTCAACACTATATAATATTCTTTTTCATTTCTTATAACAATTTCTGTCTTAAAGTCTATTTTGTCTGATATTAGCATAGCCAGGCAAGCTCTCTTTTAGTTACTGTTTACATAAAATACCTTTTTCATACTTTCACTTTTAACCTATTTCATTTTTGACTGTAAAGTGAGTATCTTATATATAGACAGAATATAGTTAGATCCTGGTTTTTTTAAAAAAAAATCCATTCTGTCAATCTCTGCCTTTTACTTGGAGAATTTGATTCATTTAGATTTAACATAATTATTTATGCAGAAGTATTTACGTCTGTTATTTTGCTATTTGTTTTCTAAATATCTTAACCTTTTAATGCTCAAAATGGATTTATTTGAAGGTTTCACAATAGCTATGTCCAGGCATTTAGGCTTATGGGAAGTAAAATTAAAAGAGGATACTTTTTTCCCAAGGAGAATTTCCTTAAAACCAAGTATATTGCTGAATAGCAACACTATACTTGGTAAACAATAATTAGCAACAAAATAAGTTTCATATTCTGCCCAAACCAGGCCCAGATACTGTTTAATAACCAAGATACAAACTAATTTTGTTGTAACAAGCCTAGACCAATTTTATCAAACATGTCCTTGGTTAGATATCTGGTGTCATTTAACATTTTGGAAGCTCATTTGGCAGCCAGTCAAGTCCCTCACACAAGCCAGTTGCTTGTGTTGCACAGGTGGCTTGAACATGCCGTGTTCTATTACGAAGAAACTGAAGCCCTCGTTTATCTGTCATTTCACTGATGGCCACAGCATTTGGCAAATCCTGTTTGTTTGCAAAAAGCAGCAGCACCGCCGGGCATGGTGGCTCACACCTGTAATCCCAGCACTTTAGTGAGTGGATCACCTGAGGCCGGGAATTCGAGACCAGCCTGACCAACATGGAGAAACCCCAACTCTACTAAAAATACAAAATTAGCCAGGTATGGTGGCGCGCGCCTGTAGTCCCAGCTACTCAGGAGGCTGAGGCAGGAGCATTGCTTGAACCTGGGAGGCAGAGGTTGTGGTGAGCCGAGATTGTGCCATTGCATTCCAGCCTGGGCACCAGAGCAAGACTCCATANAGGATGGTCTCGATCTCTTGACCTCGTGATCCACCCGCCTCGGCCTCCCAAAGTGCTGGGATTACAGGCGTGAGCCACCGCGCCCGGCCCTGAGTATTCTTAAAGTGATGCTTCCAGAGAGTCTAATTCTATCTTGACCACCAACATCCCATACCGTGAAACAAATGTTCTTATATTCTACTGGCCACGGCGACATTTTTCATGTCCCTGTTTATGCCCACGTTAAAACCAGTGGTAGGAATGGTGGTGACTATCTCCCCTAACTTCAGTTTATACAGAATGGTCATCTTGCCAGCAGCATCCAGTCCAAACATCAAAATGCACACCTATTTCTCGCCAACGAGGCGGGAGAAGAGGGAGGAGATGGTGAGGCCCATGGCGGCAGTGGCCCTGGTGATGAGCAGCAGCAGAAGGGGTTGGGGGCAGCCCCGCGCTTTCTCCTGACGCACTCCAGGCAAACTGAACCAGGGAACAGAAAGAGTGGAGGAAGAAAGAGGGAGGGAGGAGCATCTCTTTGGACGCTGTGTCAATGAAGCTCCGGGACAGGAATTCACAGCAGAAGAGCTGCCAGGCGACTGCTAGACTCTAGGCTTTGGCTGTGCCATGTCACACAGTGGCCTCAGTGGCATTTTTTATGCCCGTTTCTCCACTGCCTCTTTTGTTTGTTTGTTTGTTTGAGACAGGGTCTCTGTCATCCAGGCAGGAGTGCAGTGGCATGATCACCGCTCACTGCAACCTCTGACACCCGGGTTCAAGTGATTCTCCTGCCTCAGCCTCCTGAATAGCTGGGACTACAGGCATGAGCCACCATGCTAAGCTGATTTTGTATTTTTAGTAGAGACAGGGTTTCTCCATGTTGGTCAGGCTGGTCTCAAACTCCTGACCTCGTGATCCACCTGCCTCGGCTTCCCAAAGTGCTGGGATTACAGGTGTGAGTCACTGTGCCATGCTGTTGTTTTGGTTTTTGTTTTCTGAGATGGAGTCTTGCTCTGTCGCCCAGGCTGGAGTGCAGTGGTGTAATCTAAGCTCACTGCAACCTCCCCATCCCTGGTTCAAGCGATTCTCCTGCCTCAGCCTCCCGAGTAGCTGGGATTACAGGTGCGCATCACCATGCCTGGCTAATTTTTGCATTTTTAGTAGAGATGGGGTTTTACCATGTTGGCCAGGCTGATCTCGAACTCCTGACCTTGTCACCCACCTGCCTCGGCCTATCAAAGTGCTGGGATTACAGGTGTGAGCCACTGTGCCAGCCAAGGTACTTATTTATTGTACCCATCTTACAGATTTGAAGACTGAGACTGAGTGGCGGTTACCTGTCTTTTTTTTTTCAGATGGGGGGTCTCACTCTGCTACCCACACACTGGAGTGCAGTGGCACAAACAGTTCACTGCGGCCTCAACCTCCTTGGGCTCCAGTGATCCTCCTGCCTCAGCCTCCTGTGTAGCTGGGACCACAGGCGTGTACCACCACAGCCGGCTAAATTTTTGATTTCTTCTGTAGAGACTGGCACTCACTTTGTTGCCCAGATTGGTCTTGAACTACTGGGCTCAAGCGATCCTCCACCTCAGCCTCCCAAGGTGTGTGACCGCACCCAGCCCACCTGTCTTCTTGTCTTGCCTGCCTCCTTTTGACTGTCGTTCTGCAACCACACTGATGCAGCTGCAGCGCGACTCACTCTTCCTGGTCACCTGGACCTCCTCCCCGGTTATACCAGAGACCTTCCTCTCTATGCTTTTAAGGACTATTGTTTTTGTGCAAACAATTTTCTATGTTGGGGACAGGAAGAACAGGAAAGTGAGAAGGCTCATCTCCACGTTCCCTCCCTTCCGTGGGGCTCCCCAGCCTTTTCTAAGAGAAGTTGAATGAACTTACATCTGGGCATTTGCTTCCTCAAGTTAACACCTCACCTTCCCCTACCAAGCTACGGTCTTCTGGAATATATTTTGTAAATCAAATACGAGCCCACATTTGGGTTCACGGCTCAGGCTGGTAATTTAACCTCACTGTGCCTCCATCTTCACCTGTAAAGTAGGCATAATCATCCCTACCTCATAGAGCTGTTCCGGGTTTCAGTAAGATGGTATACATAAGGCTCTTGACACAGAGCCTGGCACACAGCAGGCACTAAATTATTGTATAATTAAAAACCTCTGCTCTCCCACCCTCCAGAGTTCTATGTGGCCCAGTCTCTGCCTGGTGGAGGCAAAAATTCACTTTTTTTTTTTTTTTTTTTTTGAGATGGAGGCTTGCTCTGTCCCCCAGGTTGGAGCGCAGTGGCACAATCTCGGCTCACTGGAACCTCTGCCTCCCAGGTTCAAGCAATTCTCCTGCCTCAGCCTTTCGAGTAGCTGGGACTACAGCTGCACACCATCATGCCTGGCTAATTTTTGTATTTTTGGTAGAGATGGGGTTTCACCATGTTGGCCAGGCTGATCTTGAACTCCTGACCTTGTGATCTGCCCACCTCTGCCTCCCAAAGTGCTGGAATTACAGGTGTGAGCCACCGTGCCCAGCTGAGAAATTCATTTTCTTACAAAGTTGCGCTGAAACTGGGGAAAGATCCATGATAATGAAACTTTCAAGAAACTGATGTATAATTTTTTTTCCCCTCCACCTCCTAGATTCAAGCCATTCTCCTGCCTTGGCCTCCCCAGTAGCTGGGATCACAGGCATGTGCCAACATGCCCGGCTAATTTTTGTATTTTTTAGTAGAAACAGGGTTTCACCATGTTGGCCAGGCTGGTCTTGAACTCCTGACCTCATGAGCCGCCCACCTCAGCCTCCCAAAGTACTGGGATTAGAGGCATGAGCCACTGTGCCCAGCCCTGATGTATGAATTTTAGCGGCATAATGTAACTGCTCTGTTTCTTAAGGCAGGATCCCCAACTCCTGGGACTGTTACTGGTCCATGACCTGTTAGGAACTGGGCTGCAGAGCAGGAGGTGAGCAGTCATGAGCATGACCACCTCAGCTCTGACCCTTGTCAGATCAGCAGCAGCATTAGATTCTCAGAAGAGTGCAAACCCTACTGTGAACTGTGCATTCCAGGAATCTAGGTTGTGCCCTCCTTATAAGAATCTAATGCCTGATGATCTGAGGTGGAACAGTTTCATCCCCAAACCATTATCCGCCCCCACTCATCCATGGAAACATTGTCTTCCATGAAATGGGTCCCTGGTGCCAAAAAGGCTGTGGACTGCTGCCTTAAGGGGCATTGTGGGTGGAGGAGGAGGAGGCAGCTGAGGACCCTGGCTGGAGCCTGGTTTGGGAGCCTCCTTTAGATGTGAGCAGGTGGCTAATTCACTGGTAGAGCTTGGGCTACGCTGAGTTTTTCAGATGGAGGCTGGAGGGCAGGACAGAGGGGCAGAAGAGAACATTTATTCATTCAACAGCTGTGTGTTGAGCACCCACTGCCAGGTACTGTTCAGGGATGTTCAGGGATACATCATGGGCACCGTGCCCTGCTCTCATGGAGCTGTGGGACAGTCCACAAGGAGACTCAGGAAGTAAAATGTCAGGTAGACAGGTGAGTGATGGCTGAGGAGGCAAAGGCAGCGGGGCTGCTCCTGATCACAGCCCCAGACTTTGCACATGCACCCCTCCCTTCCCAGAGCTGTGGGATCAGGTTCTATTTTTATCCTCCTGTGACAGGGGAGGAAACCTGGGTTGGGGAGATTAAGTGGCTTCATTTGGGAAATTCAGCAGTACCAGAGGTTGAAACTCTAAGAGCCTGAGGCTAGGAAGGGAGAGGATGATGGGCTGTTGGGGGATGGAGGGGACCACAGAGCCACCCCAAATCCCTTTTCAATGGCAGCCCTGCTGGCTCTCAGCTGTTTGCCACTGTGGCCCCTAAACTAGTCCTCAGAGACAGTAGCACAGGGACTGAGATGCTCAAATGAGTTTCTGTCCTGTTCCCCTTACAGATTCTGCTTCCCAGAGACTTCTCCAGCCTCAGGAAAGGTGGCTCCATGGAGCCATCGGGCCACTCATGAGTGGGTGAGCAGTAGGAAGGGAAAGAAGGGGACCTTGGTGTCCCCATCAGAGCCAGTGCCCAGGGAGGGCCCAGGTTCCTGCCATCCTCCTGCGGGTTGTCTTAGGACAGTGGGAGACCCAGTAGGGTTGTGAGCATTTGGTCAACAGCCTCAGACATGCTGGCTGGTCAGGGCAGCCCGCTGTGTGCATGTATCTGGGCTCTTTGAGGTCAAGACCAGGTGGAAAGGCTTTTTGTTCTGGTCTTGGAAGGAGTGCAGTGGGGTCTGTGTAAGTGGTGAGGTGGCCATCCCGGTGGCCAGAGTGCTCAAGATACCCAAGGAGATGAAATGGAGACAGCAGGAATGGGTTGTAGCCTCCAAGGTGGCTAACACAGAAGCCTGGAGATGGAGGAACTGTGCCAGGGCTTTGCGGACACAACCAGGATGGAGGTTCTAAGGGACCTGCCTGCAGATCTTCATCTCCCATACTCCCCCTCCAGACCTTCCTGTGCCTGAGGACTGTGCTTGGTCCACTCTGCCAACTAGACAGGCAAGGCCTTCCCCCGCTGGAACCTTGTCCTAGAGCCTTGCCCTGGGGCGTAAAAAGGTCCTGGGCTCCCAGCAGAAACAGCTGGGCAGGGCTGGGAAAGGTGTTGGCTTCTCCTGCAAACTATTCCTAAGGCTGGGGCTTTCAAGTCTCAGCTCTCCTGCAAGTTGGCTCTGTGACCTTGGGCAGGCCCCTTGGCCTCACTGAGCATGTTTCCTTACCTGTCAGCCTGGAGCGGAACATCTGCCTTCTGGGTGTGCGTGGGGACAAACTGTCTCCATGCAGGAACTAACTTCATGAATATTGCATAGACCTGTACATTCCAGGCAGTGGAGCTGCTGCTCATCCTGGAATACACGTGGAGGCCCCAGGGGCTTGGGGTGGGTGCAGCACACAAGGAAACTTGACCTTGCTGTTGGCAGGTTCAGTGGGCACCAAGGAAACCTTTTTTTGTTTTTGACGTTTTTATTGGGGTCTAATATACACAACGTGTAACCACCTTAAGTTACCGCTGGATTAAAACTGATTTATGTGACCTGGCATGGTGGCTCACACTTGTAATCCCAACACTTTGGGGAGGCCAGGAGTTTGAGACCAGCCTGGCCAACATGGTAAAACCCCATCTCTACCAAAACACACACACACACACACACACACACATACACACACACACACACACACACACACACACACGCTGGTTGAGGGGGCGCCTGTAATCCCAGCTACTCAGAAGGCTGAGGCAGGAGAATCGCTTGAACCCCGGAGGCAGAGGTTGCAGTGAGCCAAGATCCAGAGGCTGAGGCTGTAGAATCGTTTGAACCTGGAAGTCGGAGGTTGCGGTGAGCCGAGATCGTGCCAC